GGTGGTGTGTGTGTGTGTGTGTGTGTGTGTGTGTGTGTGTGTGAGAGAGAGAGAGAGAGAGAGAGAGAGAGAGAGAGAGAGAGAGAGACAGGGCCTCGGAGGAGGAGGTTAAGGCGTGAGGAGGGGTTTGCTTGGTGTTCAAGCAGAGGACACAGGCATGTGGAGGGCCTGAGTCCTGGTGTGTCGGGGATCAATGAGGATGTGTGGAGACATAAACACGGGGCCCAACACAGGGTGGAAGGGTGGGGCTGACCTCTTGTGCCACCCTAAGGCAGCTGGGTTTTGTTTTTATTATTTGTTTATTTTTTCCATTTTTAAATCATTTTTATTTTTCAATTACAGTTGACATACATTATTATATTAGCTTCAGGTGGACTGGACTTTGTTCTGAAGCCACCTGAAGCCATCCCTGAGACTCTGAGCATACTTGTAACACTGGGCCTTTTTGAGTGAGTCCCTCTGCCAGAGTGCACCTAGAGCAGTGATGGCGAACCTTTTGAGCTCGGCGTGTCAGCATTTTGGAAAACCCTAACTTACCTCTGGTGCCGTGTCACACATAGACATTTTTTGATATTTGCAACCATAGTAAAACAAAGACTTCTATTTTTGATATTTATTTTATATATTTAAATGCCATTTAACAAAGAAAAATCAACCAAAAATAATGAGTTCGCGTGTCACCTCTGACACATGTGTCATAGGTTCGCCATCACTGACCTAGAGGGAGGAGGCCATGTCGAAGGCCCTGAGGCCCAGGAGGGCGGGAACAGTGCAGACTGTGGCCAAAGGGAGAAGGGTGAGCTGGGCTGGGAGAGCCTGCTGGTGCTCCTTAGGGAGAAGGAGAAAGGGAGCTTCCTGCAGGCGGAGGGGAGGGGGCTGGGCTGAAGAGCCGTGTGTGAAGGTGCGATCAGACCTGTTGACCCTGGGTGGGGGGTGGGAGTTCCCAACTGACCGTAGGACCTCCCCTGCCAGCAGTTGGAAGCCTCACATTGGTGGCCTCCTCTCTCCATGCCTGAGGGGGGTGCGCCGTGTTAGTACCGGCTTCTGGGGGGTCACTGGGCTTCACATTCAGTCCTCATAAAACTTGAGGGAGGTCAGGACTCCCCCTGTCATTTGCCACATTAGGCAGCTGGACTCAGAGAGGGCATGTGACTTAGGAAGGTCACTGTGACCCCACTTCCCAGGCAGCCCTTGGGGTCCCAGCCTGTCATTT